GGGAGTGTTTTGTAATCTTCCAGCAGGTTTTAAGGAAAAGAGTCAGTAAGCTAACTAAGACCACAGTAATAGAATACAACTCATTCAAAATAGTATCTTTGTCAGTATTATCTGAATTTAAAATTTGTACCCATGACATTCCCTCCAAGAAAGCTCTGAGGAATGCATTTCAGAAGCCTCACTCGGTGGACTTGATCTCGCACAGTGAAGCTTCTGTCTGAAAAGGCCCCCTTAATGACATGCTGGGGTGATGCTGGGAAGACCCAAAGGGAGGCACCCTGGCACCACCCGACCAAAGCACACAGGCAAGATCCTGTGCAGTTTATTATTGCTTATGAGAATAAGCTTATTATTCTTATGAGAATAAGCAACGCCCAAGTCCTAGGCAGAGCAATGAAAGTGAGGAATTGACAAGGAGCCATGATATATACAAAAAAACAACTACACTTTGGAAAGCAAAGCAACTTCCTTAAATAACTTCTGTACCCACTGTGAATTAATATAGAGAGAGGCACTGGCTTGTAACTCTCTTAAACTTTAGGGTTTACATTGTTTTTTAAATATTGCTTTAAATGTCATCAAACTTAAAAAAAAAATCACAACATTGGCCTCTAGGAAAAATCCTAATTTATTATGCCAAGAAAATAAGAGCAGCAAGTACAGATAAAATTGAAACAATAGTTGTTCGTTATGCTTCAGAAGATTGGAGACTGACAAGAATTAGGCTTGAGATGGATTAATGATTGTGCATTGAGCATTGACTTCCCTATACAGAATTTTATTGTTGGTAACAACCATTTGATCAATAAATATGAGAGATACCCTCTCAAAAAATAAAGAATTAAATTAAATTAAAAAAAATTGAAACAATAGGTAATGTCAAAATAAAATGGAAATTGAAAATGAGGTGGGTTGTGTTTTAAGTGTATTAGTGAATAATTTGAAGACTTTATTGCAAAATCAAATTTATATTTCAAAAAAGATTTTTAACTTTTGCCTGTAATTCTCAATCAGTGTTTCTAGTCCCGAACGCTCTGCTGCCTCCACACTTACGCTTCCAGCTGCCTGTTGGATGACTCTATGGTGAGATCCCATATGTACCTCAAAGTCCTCTCTTACCAAGAATAAGTTGGATTCCTGCCTGAATTCCCTTCATGACAACATCATGCTGTCAGTCACCCAGGTCAGAACCCTGAGAATCCCAAGTCCTACCACTTCCTTATGTCCAACACCCAAACTACCACCAAATCCAGCATGTTCTAGCTCTTTCAAATTTCTCTATTTCTCATGGCTTCTACACTAATTGCAGCCCTCCCATCTCTTCCCCAGATCATTACAAAATGAATCTTCTTTCCTCAGCCTTGCTCACCTCCAGCTTTTTCTTGACACTTTCTCCAGGGTAACATACTGAAAATTCAGTGACTGCTGGCTTAAAACCCCTCGATGCTTACACACACACACACACCACACCATACCTTTGGGTCAATGATCCTGACCAGCTTACTACTTCCATGTAGGTTTCACACCCATGTCACACTGCTCCTGCTTGCCATGCCCTCCTCCATGTCACCCTGCTCTTTACCAGGCTAACTCCTATTCATCTCTCAAGGGCTGTTTCAGAGATCACCTCCTCCAGGAAGCCTGCTTTTACACATACAACCCTTACTGGTTTCGCAGCAATGACTGACCACTCTGTGAATTTCAGAGAACAATTCATTGTCCTGGGTACCACCTACAACTCACATGCGTGTGCCATCATTCTAAGCTACACCAGTCAGCATTTCCATGAATTCATTTTCGGTACATAAAATTCATAGAGTCTGACAATGTACTGACCGAGTCAGAGGTATCTTGTGCTTTATTAAAATCACTGGTTATAAAATAATAGCTGCATCTTTTTTTTATGTATGAAAGTTGCCTTTTACTTAAGGGGAAATAAAACAAAACAAAACAAATGATGTTTCAGGAAACTGGGTTGTGTGGCCAGTACTTATGTTACTGGTGACCTAATACATTGTTACTGAAAGTACCTATTAGGGGAAAATTGGCTTAATGGATGCTGAGATGACTGGCCTTTTTTAACTGGAATTAAATGTATGTGGGTTTTGATTCTGTAACGATCCTCCATTTTAGTAATGGAAGAAATAAAGAAAAAATTCAAAACTCTATATAGAGAAATAAAGGGTCTCAAAACAAGACCTATGTTAAAAATATATAAAATTATAAAAATTAAACAGAATAAATCATTAATCAGAGCCTAAAGTTTTAAAGCAAAATCTGTTTGTGGAATGTAGAGTGATTAGCCAAAGCAAATACCACTGATGTGAACTGATTTACTTAATTCAATTTCCTATTATTTTAAGACCTGTGGATAACTTCACAGTTCAGTGAGGATTTGAAATAAGAGAACAAAATGATGAAGTGGAAAGGGCAGGCACGAGTCGCCAACAGACCAGGGCTCTGGCTCCAGCCGTGAGCGAGCGTCACATCACTTAAATTTGGTTCAGATTAATTCTTTTGTTATGAAAGTGAAAGTGAGGGGTTAGCTGATCTTTAAAGTTTCTGGAAAGATGGTCCTAAAGTGGACTCTGAGGAATAAAAAGGGAGTGTTTTGTAATCTTCCAGCAGGTTTTAAGGAAAAGAGTCAGTAAGCTAACTAAGACCACAGTAATAGAATACAACTCATTCAAAATAGTATCTTTGTCAGTATTATCTGAATTTAAAATTTGTACCCATGACATTCCCTCCAAGAAAGCTCTGAGGAATGCATTTCAGAAGCCTCACTCGGTGGACTTGATCTCGCACAGTGAAGCTTCTGTCTGAAAAGGCCCCCTTAATGACGTGCTGGGGTGATGCTGGGAAGACCCAAAGGGAGGCACCCTGGCACCACCCGACCAAAGCACACAGGCAAGATCCTGTGCAGTTTATTATTGCTTATGAGAATAAGCTTATTATTCTTATGAGAATAAGCAACGCCCAAGTCCTAGGCAGAGCAATGAAAGTGAGGAATTGACAAGGAGACATGATATATACAAAAAAACAACTACACTTTGGAAAGCAAAGCAACTTCCTTAAATAACTTCTGTACCCACTGTGAATTAATATAGAGAGAGGCACTGGCTTGTAACTCTCTTAAACTTTAGGGTTTACATTGTTTTTTAAATATTGCTTTAAATGTCATCAAACTTAAAAAAAAAATCACAACATTGGCCTCTAGGAAAAATCCTAATTTATTATGCCAAGAAAATAAGAGCAGCAAGTACAGATAAAATTGAAACAATAGTTGTTCGTTATGCTTCAGAAGATTGGAGACTGACAAGAATTAGGCTTGAGATGGATTAATGATTGTGCATTGAGCATTGACTCCCCTATACAGAATTTTATTGTTGGTAACAACCATTTGATCAATAAATATGAGAGATACCCTCTCAAAAAATAAAGAATTAAATTAAATTTAAAAAAATTGAAACAATAGGTAATGTCAAAATAAAATGGAAATTGAAAATGAGGTGGGTTGTGTTTTAAGTGTATTAGTGAATAATTTGAAGACTTTATTGCAAAATCAAATTTATATTTCAAAAAAGATTTTTAACTTTTGCCTGTAATTCTCAATCAGTGTTTCTAGTCCCGAACGCTCTGCTGCCTCCACACTTACGCTTCCAGCTGCCTGTTGGATGACTCTATGGTGAGATCCCATATGTACCTCAAAGTCCTCTCTTACCAAGAATAAGTTGGATTCCTGCCTGAATTCCCTTCATGACAACATCATGCTGTCAGTCACCCAGGTCAGAACCCTGAGAATCCCAAGTCCTACCACTTCCTTATGTCCAACACCCAAACTACCACCAAATCCAGCATGTTCTAGCTCTTTCAAATTTCTCTATTTCTCATGGCTTCTACACTAATTGCAGCCCTCCCATCTCTTCCCCAGATCATTACAAAATGAATCTTCTTTCCTCAGCCTTGCTCACCTCCAGCTTTTTCTTGACACTTTCTCCAGGGTAACATACTGAAAATTCAGTGACTGCTGGCTTAAAACCCCTCGATGCTTACACACACACACACCACACCATACCTTTGGGTCAATGATCCTGACCAGCTTACTACTTCCATGTAGGTTTCACACCCATGTCACACTGCTCCTGCTTGCCATGCCCTCCTCCATGTCACCCTGCTCTTTACCAGGCTAACTCCTATTCATCTCTCAAGGGCTGTTTCAGAGATCACCTCCTCCAGGAAGCCTGCTTTTACACATACAACCCTTTAGTCCCAGGCTGCCTTTGATGCCTTTCCATTCCTTAATGCCAACACTCTCAATATACTTGTATCATATTGGAGTTGGTCTTATCTGTTTGTGTCTCTTCCTTGCACATGACAGATATTCCACGAAGGTAAGGACTTACCACCTTTGCTTCTGGAGATCCTAACGAAGTTCATTGAATCAAACTAAAAAGGAATCAAACTATGGAGAAAAACCCTTTAGAGGGTATAAGAGTATTTTGCAGAGGATTATAAATATTTAGAAACAGTAATTGCTTTTCTTACTTATGCAAATAATATTTCCTGGCTTACAAAGTACTTTTCACATAAGTTATATTGTTTGATTCTCAAAACAATCCTAGAAGGCAGGTAAGGCAAAAAAGGCAGATATGCAGACTCAGAAAGACCTGAAATATGTAAAAAATTTCTCTGAGAAATGTTATTGACTTTATTAAGGTGTGAAGCCGTGTGTGTGTGTGTGTGTGTGTGTGTGTGTGTGTGTGTGTGAATAAGTCTTCATAGATTAGAGCTTCAACTTCAAGTAAATTCCTGTTTGGTTAAAATAGCCAACTGATTTCCTTCGTAACTACCAAAAATTCTCCTAAAAGAGAAAAACTCAATTCTTTAGAGAGAACTTTTCAGTAACCTATTCTCTTACACACTCTTTTCCAAGAAGTAGATTTTGCAAGACTGAGCAGCTCATGTAGATTTCTAAAGGAAGAGAACTGGCTCGCTCTCACCTCCAGAAGATCTCCTCAGCCAGGAGTCCCCTGACGTCTGAAGCCGCCCTTTTCCCAGGATGATGGTGAAAGTTGCCAGCAGGTGCTGAGGAAGAATATCACAAAGATTCCTGAAATGGGAAAAAACACATAATAGTGTAAATGGTTTTGGGTTAGTTACCTAATGCTGTTGAGCTGAGAGTTCATTCTACTCCTAAGAAAACTGACAAGGGGAACTTCATGCATATTAAATGCCACAATCATTTTTAACTAATTTCTGCACTTCAGGACACCAATATCTAAGAAACTAAGTGATTTAATGGCAATAGATAATGAAAAACATAATTCCGATTACATTTTGGTATAAGGTAGAAGTCGGAATGACTCCTAAAGGGCAGGAAACAACTGTGCACACACCAATCAAAGAGGGAACAAGGGCACTTGATCTTATTTTGCTCTAATACTTCATGGGAACACACCGTGCTTTCCAATCACATCAACACACAGGCTGAGCTGGGAAGAGTCTAATACAGTCTGGAAAGAACAAACAGTGAAGAACTAAGTATTTGATCAAGGTTGATGATATCTGAGAGTAGCTCAGCAATGCAATTACATTCTAGATGTGGCTTTGAAGGCAGTGAGAAAAGAAGGCATCCGGGAATAAAGGGGTTGCTGAACACACCATTGTGAGAAAGCAAGCATACAGTCAAGGTGGAGCTACACAGAATGAAACCTTAATTAAATGGAAATCAACTAACACAAGTGTTTGAAGAATGTGCTTATTTAATACCTCACTTTTATGAGAATGGGTAAAAATCCCAGGAAGGATTATTCAGAAAACCTCTTTTAAACCAGAACATGGGGTCAGTTTGTAGTGAGAAGAGCAGAAGCCTGGGCAACCAGACCTGCCTCCCCCACTAACAGTCTAACTTGGGCTTGCTACATGCTTCTCAAATTTCTGGGCACATTAGCACCCCTGGGAGAGCTTTCAAAAAATATTGATGGATTGGCCCCATCCAGGCCAAAGAAATCCTCGAGCAGTTAAATCAGAATCTCAGGTGGCATGGAACCCAAGCATAGGCATTTTTTTCAAAAGAGAGAAGGTCAGAGAAGATAACTGTCTTCCACGACTCCACTGGCTCTAACACTCTGCCCTATCCACACATTTTGCACTTCATAGCTCAAGTTTGTTTTAAAACAAACACAACTTAAATTAATAGTATCCAAAACATAAAACCCTATAGAATTATATAGGTCCCCAGTTTGCGAGAGGAGGGGACTGAGGCTTTGAGGGTACAGTGACTTAGACAAGGTCCAAGTACAGGAACACTACCACCAGGACGGAATCAAGTCTTGTGGGGAGGATAAAGTCAGATCATGAGTGGGGCTGGACACAACTCTATTTAGCTTCGGTGGGGGGTGCCTGAGAGACGCAGCCACGCTGTTGACTAGGGACTGATAACACTGGCTCTCTGGGCCCCCACTCCTTAAGGAATACTAAAGGTGAAAAATAATCCTAGCAGCCAAATTATTGAGCACTTCATATGCACTGGACACTGTGCTAAAAAGCGCTTTAATCCTCACAAGACCTCTCTGACCTAAGTACTATCACTATCCCCAATTTATAAATGAGGAAACAGAAGCCAGGAGAGCTTAGTCTCATCTCTAAAATGGTGGCATTAGATCTGAACAATGCAAGCCTCTCTCCTTACCACATATTGCCTCCAGGGAATGCGGTTACAGGCAGCTGGAGGCAAGGCCCCTAAGCACTGGATCTGTTTTGTCTTTTTCTGTCACAATGCATTCTCACATTGCAAAATGGAAACAGAAGCATCCTGGTGTCTCTGGTGCTTCCAGATTTTCCCATATTAAATAACTAATTTCCATTGTTTGAAAGGATTAACAGGTTATGGAGTGATTTTTATTCCTACTTCATGAAACATATGCTACATACAGACACACACAGACACACACACACACACGCTTCCAAATTAGTAGAGTTTGGATGGTGAGATCTAATTACATTATTCTGGAGACTTCAGCTCAGGCAACTATGAGAAAAGTTACCACTGAGATCTGCCCAAGACATAGGAGTTTAAAAGCCTCACTGAAATCTCTGGGACATTTACAATTCATTTGGAAAAAATTTGCCAAACTTACACTCATTTTCACTCATAGAAGTGTCCTTGTTACAGTTTGCTGCTCCATTACATTTACATTGTGTAAATGATTTCCTTTCTTTAAATATATTTGTTATTGACCACAATAAAATCTAACTTAGAAATATTCCACATATGAATCTTAAATCTTATATAAGAGGCTAGTGCAAAAACATTACTGTTTCTGACACCTTAGGCATATCCTAATTATACTGTAGCAGAATTATCTTCACGGCTCCTTTTAACAGTAATGCAAAAAGGCAGTTTTCATTAGACACTTCTAGGAAAATATCAAAGAGTGATAAAAATAAGAACAGAATTTTGGGAATTAGAAAGGGTCTGGAAAGCCATAGCACCCAACCATCTAACTGCCTATGGCTTTTCCCATTTTCAGGGAACTCTGTAAGGAGCAGAATCACTTTTCCTATAGCTTCCACTATTTGGTCCCATTTCTGGGCTTCAGTGACTTCTCCAGGTTCGCAGGGCACTGTCAAAGCCCCTACCCAAGCACAGACCTCTGAGGAGGAAAGCAGGGAGAGGCTGCCGTTTGGGCAGAGCTGGCAACTGCAAGGGCCAGGCGTGAGCGCCTAACTCGAGGGCGTCTCACAGAAGCTGGCGGATGCCAGTGCGATAGCTCTGTGCGCAGGTCTCTGCCCTAGAAGATAACCAGCCAAGTCGATCAGATCAGTCGCCAGGATTTGGACTAGACATCAGGAGTCAGAGGAGAACCGACTGAATGTGCAGAGGTAAGCAGAAAGGCCAGAAGGAGACCATGAGAGAGGACGGTCATTCCCTGGAGTTGCCTCAGACACAGATTAACTTCCCATTGTTCAGATGCACACAGAGGGCTGTGTGCTAAGTCCTCCCCTTCAGGGGGCTCTCGATGGGTCTCTGCCCTCTACAGCCCCAGATGCATAGTATAGAGCCATTCTTATAGCTGCATATCAGGTCGACAATTAATAGCTCTCATCTTTTTGTAGGCATTCTAGTTTAGAACCAAGTGAAGGCTTTACTTTCACTCCATTAATACTTCACCTTTTTAGAATGGAGTTCATTATTGCAACTTGCCTAAAGCTTTGGCTTCTCAATCATTCCTTTCTGAAATATTTCTTATGCCTTTCACCTTCATGTCATCTACAAATAAGGCAAGCCTGCCATCTAGAATAGTGTTCATGCTATGATAAAGACACTGAAATGGACACTATTTCACAGAGCAAACAGTGGTATAAAAATAGTGAAAACTGAATTGCTAATAAATAAATTTCTTTTAGTGTCAGGGTCATTACTTAAAATTAATAATTACCAATTCTCCAATTGACTGAAAACATCATCCTGAAGATAAAGAGCTACATAAACTGACATGTCCAAGCAATTCATTTTCCAGATAAACGTTTTCACATTTACTTGGTAGAGACTGCAAAACCCAGAAGAATTAGGTTTCAGCATCATTAGAGAAAATTAGGCCATAGTTGAGATAATTGGCAACATGAACTTTGCAGTTAGAATAATTACCTGTGCAGCAGACCGAGAAGTTATGTTTGAGAAACATATTACAAAAACAGTCAAGTCGGCTTCATTCTTCCCTGAGGCAATCATGGAAATCAGCAGAATCTGTCATTTTAGGTCGTCTGGTACACCCCTGACAAAGTGAAATTGTTCTCCAAAGACCTCAACTGCTTTTTCTAATTTTGCTTTCAGTAAGCCTTATGAGATCTCTCTTTATAGCAAGACGCCTTACACTGAAGGGCTTTTCAAGTCCTCATGACTGCTTTTCTTAGTTTCTCTCTCTTCACCATTACTGTCTGGCTGTCAGGCTGCAATTTCTCATAGTGCTCCGTGTGCCTTCCCGGAGCAACCCACACGGCTCTAATTGGATATTTCTGATCTTCCATGGGCTGACTTTATGTAAAATAAGACTGGGAAGTGACAGAGGGAGGACCTGATCAGCCAGTCTTTAAAGAAAACATATGTGTGTATGTGTAGATTTCACACCGTCTCTGTTGGCCAAACTGAGGTCTCCTTGGCTTGTTTTTTTTCTCGGCTGTGTTGGACTGTTAAACTGTTCATGCAACAATTATGTTCAGATCCAAGAGGGGCAAGGCGCTGCCCTAGGAGCCACAGGAAAGACAAGATAACTAAGACTCGGCAGCTTCTGCTCCGAGACAGAGATTAGAGATGACGGTAATACTGTCTTGTGTGGTACGGCATTTTCTGGTTTATTTTTCACCAAAGTAAGCTAACTCCATACTGAAACCTACGTATTTTTCTTGCCATATAAGAGAAAAAATAAAATTTTCAAGCATTCATCACAGCTAGCAAGTGCAAAGCCAGACTCCAGGGCAGGCCTTGTAGTTCGTAGTCCATGTGACTTCCACCAGCCTATAGGTGCATTAATTGCTCCATTGGACGAAATGGCTACATAGCAACAGGTATTGAGAGCTTACTGCATACTGGCTGCTTCTGTAACTGTCTGGTTTCTGTAACTGTCTTAATCCTTTTAACAACTTTATGAGGTGGGTGACTTTATTATCCCCATTTAATAGAGGAGAAAACAGAGGCACAGACAGGGGACTAATGGCCCGGGGTGGTATGGCTAGTACGGGACAGAAAGCAAAAACACATGCGAGCTTCGCCACCCAGGAAAAATGTGGAGGAAGTCATTGGACCCGTTGCTAGGAAGAATGCGAAGAAAGGTTTGGAACGTTTTCTAGCATCTCCAGAACAGTGAGACTTTTCTTCTCTTGTAAATCCTGTGAGAAGACATTGACATCTGAGATGAAAGAAACATGGCAGTTCCAAGAAAAGAAGGAAATGCGATGCTTCCCCTGCCCTGTGCCACACGGTGGGTGTGTGAATGACGTGACAGCACAGAGCTCCGGCATGTGAATACCATCTGCTGCTTCGGTACTCGCTACATACATTTTCTGTTATTTCAGATTCTTTGGCTGGATTGCACTGGCTGAGCCAAGCAG